TAATCGACAAACCATGTGCAATTTTAGCAAAGGACACAAAATCGCAAACATAAACCAGTCATTTCAGCCTCCTAATTCTCGTACGGGAGCAGAAACACGACAGACGTTGGCCTGAAGTTCACTATATAGCCTAGAGAAACAAGGAAAAGACAAATGTGCTATCAAAGAGGAATATTTCTATGATGCAGCAACTCGGGCGTTACAGCAAATGTTCCCACAACGGACATCTCACAAATCAGGCATGTTCTGCTAGATATATGGCTCAATGTGGTGATCACACAAACAGATATCTCGTCAGAGTCGAAAATATTATGTCATATTTAAATATGCACTGATTTTTACGTTGCCATTATTAGTTGATAGTAAAAATTTACGCTAAAAATCGCTGTAGAAGCTTAGGCATAAATTCAGGTTAAGGCGTATTCGATAAGACGAAATTCTGAATTCAAATGTATAATGTAAAGTAACAATGCAAAGGTCAGAATCTGTACTTACTATTCAACTGTATTTGTGAAGAGCGAAATAGATTAGCATAAACAGCCATTCATTTTAATATTTAGAAACGTAGATGCGTACATGAATTTGTCAGTACACGCTTTTATTCTGCAACCTTATGACGTATAACCACAAAAGTACTAAATTCATATATACAAATATATTTTACTCAGCTAAATATTTGTTTTTACCTTTTTGGACGTATCCCGACTACCCAGACGCTGAAAGACGCTACGCTTCTTATTAGGTTCGTTGTCTGTGTCTGGACTTGGTGGCTCGATCGGTTTATGCTTACGACGAATAACTCTTTGTATGTTCATGTCTGACCTGAAACACGAACAAGGTCATTAACCCGTGGGTACAAGAAGTTAGGCAGCACACCGCCTACCAGCTGATCGCGAATCGGACCTCAAAATTATATTTATATTATAGAATTCAAGAGCGTGTAAAATTTACTACCTATCATCACTGGGAGGGGTGGGGAACTATTAAAAAGAGATCGGCTTCGAACTTCCGAACTGGAGATGTCGAATGTGTAAAAATGACAACGGCGAATTCCACTGAACAAGTAATTTACCTCACGCTGTTTCGGTACAACAAGTAAAGAAATGGGTAGCAAGTCGTTGAGTTTCGATAAATAGGAACAAAAGGATCATCCTACCAGACCATCATACCCGAAAGTGTGAGATGTACGGCAATATCATCTGATACGAGCGCCTCAGAGGGCTGTTCTTTCTCCTGCTCCTCCTGATAGCTGACTACTGAACGTGATACTCACTACACAAGATATAAATCCGGTAGAAAACCAAGCAGTTTGGTCAGTCATTAAGGAGAATAGTAGACCACTGCAAAAATAGACAGTTTTGCAAAGATTTCTCAGTGCATCCAGAATTAAGAAGCATAATGAGTATGATCTTAAAATCCTAAACCATACTAACGAGTATCGCCATCCACTCCTCCTGTTTCTTGCAAGAACCATGAAGGTAATAAAGTCTGCATCACTTAAAACGGATAAAAGTCGCCAACCCTAACCCTTTTTTAAACTTAAGAGTGCACTGGTTAATGGCACTTGACAAATCAAACGTTGGCATTACATCGTGGAAAGCGAACGCAGATCAAACAGACCTTGAGGGCGAAAAATGAAGAAGGGTACTTTCCATAGCCATAAAGATTTATCTTGAACAGTGAAACGGTCGGCTTATCGTCGTTTCTGTTCATCTGGAATGATTTCATAAAAGCAAGCAGCTTCAGTCGCGATTTTCAGCACGATGCACATAAATATATCTAGCCATTCATATACCGCTGGGTTTCGAGGCCAGCTGTTTCAAGAGGACTTCCTAATGACTCCGGTTTTTTGCCAATTGGGAAGGCTCAGCAGATTATGAATCCGACCGTCGAGCGACAGTATCAAATGCTCAATCACACCTGGTTCACGATCCGTTGATCATCATTACTTTTGTCACCAAACTACTACAATATTTGAGAGCTTACGTGCTAATCGAAAATAAACATTTTTGCTGCTAATGCATTAATAATTCAGAACCATTGTCGAATGAATGGGAATATCAACCAGAAGTGCCGATATAAAAGTCCCAACTAAAACGATTATTCACGTAGAAACAGTTGACAAAAATCCATCTACAACATCCATGACCAATCTTGCTGTCTACGCTTGCCCAAATGTCTTGACTTTACAGCACTCGGATATATCAATGCACAAAGCGGCTGGGTATATCTACGTTGTTCATCAATCGACCGTATATTAAACAAATTGTATCTCCCAGTCTGCGAAACTCGTGGAGTTCATGTACCTCGGAATGGTGAAATTTGTGGTGAAAAATGAGGAGAACAGATAGATCGGTGAATCCTTATGATCAACTACATTCTCGGTAACTTATGCAACCAAAATCATTGTAACTAAGATCGAGCTGACTCTAAAAACTACGCTGTGTTTTCTAGTCGATATTCATGACCATGCTGATCTACGGACATGAGTCGTGGATACTGGCTGAGAAACTGCACTCTCGGGTATGAAATAGTCCTTCTGAGACGAATCATTGGGCTCACGCGTCTCGACAGAAACCCGAGTTTACATTTGTGATAAAACATTTGTGCACACCCGCTGTTCCCCCAGGTTGAGAAGTCACAGCAGCGATGGTTTGAGAGGAAAGCAAAACAGCTACTATTTGTCCAATCGACCGGCCAAGGACGCTGGAGAAGGCTGCAAGTGCCTCGATGGTCTCTGCTCAATACTGCAGTTGACTGACCAAATGCCAGACGATTACGCGGGATCGTATTCCTTGGAGA